CCTCAGGCCGGGGGGGCCGAGGCGGGCGTCTCGCTGCGCTCCGCTGCCGCCGTACGCCTCTGCCGACGGGGAAGCGAGAGCAGAACCGCGGCCTCCCCGCCGGGGGTTTGTCCCACAGGATGGCTGGGGGCGTGGAACTGCCCGCCCTGATGTGTATAAAATATACGTCTATATAAAAACGTATAAAAAGGTTAAAACATAAATATATAAGTACCCTGGTTTTGCTCTATTCTGTGGACAATATTTTCTTATAAGCTGAAACTAGAGTATTAAACTCTTAAAAATAAGTATTTTAGTGTCGTGTGGCATTTGTACTTTTACAAGCAGAAAGTTAAAGCTTGGAGTTTGCCCCAGCGGGTCTGTCAGCGAGCTGGTGTCTGTTTGCCCGATGCCGGCTCACGGCCAGGGCCCGCTCCTGCAACAAATGTAAAAGGCTGTTTGAGTAGTCGATGCAGTTCAGCTGGTGGCTTTTAAAGTTTAAACGGGTAGGTAGCTCTTAACTGAGGCAATAACAGACTTTTGGAAGGCATTTCAACTTTTGAACTTGACGCTCACGTAAAACACTGTATAGTGAATTTAAATCTAGTCTGGCTTTCTTCGTAACGTTTCATATAACCCTTTAGAAGTAATGCATGGGTAATCCCCTGGGAGAATCTCCCAGGGTTCTATAGACTGAAAACAACTGATTTAAGATGTGAGGAAGGCAACCTTGTTAATCCTAACAGCTTCCATCTCAAATGAGGTTTCACTGGTAGAAATCACTGGAGCATGTTTGGAAATACTGAAATTGGTCACCATCTTGTAGCGAGCGAGGAGCAGACACTTTAGAGGTGCAAGTCTTGTGGCGCTGAAATCAACGTCTTAACACTGTGGTTCAGTGGGATTCTTAAATTTGGTGCCTGAATTCCACGTGGGTTATCTTGGAGAGGTTGTTTTTGGAATCTGAAGGAATCGGTTAGTTTTAAGGTATTCAGTGGCAGTACCGAAATGTGTGTTTAGATGCACAGTGATTTAAAGGTCTTTGGTCTTCAACTAGTCCGGATTTGGGGAGTGCGTTGAGATTCCCAAGTACTGAGCCTTCTTCCCTGTAGTGGTTTGGGCTTCAGTTATCTCAATTTATTGTGAAAGGTGTTGCTAGGATAAGGCAGTATTTCTCTTTGTGATCCAGTAGGTCAGTGATTGGTATCCTTACCAGGGTGTAGGAAACGCCGGTGCAAACTCCCCTACCTAACTTGGGAGAGGTTTCATCGTGTGCTTGGAAAATGCCTGGTCTGACAAATCACCACCCAAAACATCTGTTTTGGATTTTGAACTAACAGTGCTGTCAGTTCTAAAGCAGTGTTTTGCGGGTTCATGAAGAGGTGTGCATCAGTATTACATCTTTTATTGGTTTAATTTTTTTATCTTGCCACGTGAATCTTTAGTCACGAAAGGTAATTTACTATGTCTGACTTAATGTCCATATTCAGTATGTGAAAATCATGGTAATATAGCTCAGGATATGTCCACAAGTTTCATCTGCGTTCCTTTCACGGACAAAGAAATGTCCGAGAAATTTAGGTGATGACACGATTAAAGACAGAAGAACACCACTCTCATAATCTTTCCTGTCTTTTTAAAATTACGTTAATATTCAGTGTTTCCTTTAACTGTTTTTGTGTGGAGTGTAAAGCTAAATAGTTTCTGATGGCAATGCAGGTATTTAAACAACTCACGCTAACTTTGGTTAGACAATATTGTAATGATGGCTTTCAAGCATGACCTGATTGTTTATGTCTAAAGCAATACTGAGGCTATAATTTTTTTTTTTTAATAAATACAGAGTTTGCTTTCTAAAGCACAAGGAATAGGCTCCAGCTCAGTCAAACTCCGAGGGGGCTCTCTATTTATGAATGTTGGGAAATTGGAGAAACAGGAAGATATTAGACAAACACCTTATGTGAACATCAATCCCTTCACTCCCGATTCCGTGTTCCTTCATAGCTCTGAAGGAAAGTGTCGTAGGAGGAAGAGAACGCACTGGAATGAGTGAGTAACTTGTACCTTCCTTCGTTAAGCTTCTCTTTAGAAAAAGTTTTGTCACAAATTGCTTTTGTGAAAAGTTTTTTTCCTTGCAAATCTTTTAGTGATGCATAATATAGCTCTTAAAGCATCTGCTTTGAGATGCATGATACTATGATACTATACCATTTAGGACTAGATCTTTGATTAGTATATAGGGAGGGTAGACTAGGCTGTGTCCTGCAGTCTTTTTACATGACTGAATGAGCTGTACACGCAGTCTTTTCATGAGGAAGGAAAAACACATTGAATACTAGTATGAAACATGGAAGAAAGAAATGACAGATATTAGCATGGTCTCTTTATTTTATTTTGTGAGTTTGTGTTTTGTGGACGTCTAGTATCCAATTAGTTTAGCTAAACTTAGGTAAAATTGGAGAATTGGATCTCAGAAAAATCAACAGTTGCTAGATTTCAGTTTTAAGTTTATTTATGCCATATTACTTCTGCAAAAGTAACTGGTGTGAATTTCAGCTCTTGTGGAGAGGACATGGAAGCAAGTGATGGAGAGCCTGAGGATGAAACAATCAGACCTGCTAAGGTAATTAATTTTTAGAACTTGATACTAACTTTGGCAGTTTGTGAACCTGCAGATCTAAGTATTTTTCTTTCTAATGTTTGCAGAGGATAACAATAACAGAAAGTAATATGAAGTCACGTTATGCAACTGAATTTCATGAGTTGGAGAAGATTGGATCTGGTGAATTTGGTTCTGTGTTTAAATGTGTGAAGAGGCTTGATGGCTGTATTTATGCAATAAAGCGATCCAAGAAACCCTTAGCTGGCTCAGTGGATGAGTGAGTATTTCCTGCTATTAGAAGTTAGGTCACCTCTTGGTGTCTTTTCCTCCCATGTCTCTTTGTATTGGTGTCTAGAGAAGGCATTTAAGATAAAAGTATAATAAATATACATGAATTAAATCTAAAACAGGTACAATTTTGAAGTCGCTTCACTTTTTTGTGTTTTTTTTTTTTTTTCCTGAATACTGTGTAATACTGGGGAGGAAAGGCTACTTGGCCTTTCTCCTTGCAGATGTTTGATCCAGTATTCTGTGTGAGAACAGGTTGTTCTCATCTGGAAAGTAAAAATAATGCTTACTCGCATTAATGTCAGGAGGGACTATATGAATAAACTTCAGTGATGATCCTTTGACATGTGAAAGGAAAGCAATATTCCCATCTAGGTCTTCATCTTTGTCAACTTGAATGACATGCAGATTAGTTAAGTCAGTTTGGGGATATTTTTTGGCATTTGTGAATGAGCCTGTGATTCATTACTTTTTCTCCCACTGTTGTAATAGTTACAATGTAAGACTCCACAAGTTTGAGTTGCTCAAAATTACATTTCAGACTTATATAGAAAAAGTTAGGAATGTTGAGTTCAGTCCTACTCCTGGCCTGTGATGGTCATTAGGTTTTTTTTCTCAAAGCTTGCTGCTGGTTGAAAAGTATGTAATGGAAGTGGCAACTCCTCAAGAATTATCTGCAACAAAACCTGTTTTCTGATGTTCCATATGCTTAGTCTTTTAATATTATGTAAACTATTCTGGCTGTTTGGGTATAAATACAAATCCATCTTGAGGTGCCACAGAGCTGAATATGAAGATTTTAATTAGAAACCTGATCTGGCAGAGGGACATGATGTTATGATAAGTGTTTCTATCAAGCTGAAATTGGACTAATTTCACTGCATAATATTCTTGTGTGCTGCTGTTTTTCTGTGACTATAACAGGCAGAATGCTTTAAGAGAGGTGTATGCACATGCAGTTCTGGGACAGCATTCTCACGTAGTAAGATACTACTCTGCATGGGCAGAAGATGATCATATGCTTATACAGAATGAATATTGCAATGGTAAGTAAAGTTTATCTCTTGTTTTGAACTTGTTTTCAAAAAACCTAGTTTT